GCTGAAAATGACTACCCCAGTACTCACATATTTGGTCCAGTTCATCTTTTGTACAGGTCACTTTGTTCCACGTCCACTCAAGAACGAACCGTAAATTAACAGCAGAACTTGGCTGCTCTTTAAAAACAGAAAAAAAAAAAAGACATGAAGCTACAATTGCTAACCAAAACAGAACATAAAAACAAGTGAACCAGCATTACCTTCAGAAGTCCAATGTTTAATGCAGCCTGTCAGAAGTTCTAAAGAACCTGTCTGGACAGCAGCTGACAACACCGCTTCTAACTGCTCCTCCTGAACAGAACAGACAAAATCAAATCAYAAYCTCACACACTTTTCACACCTGAGCCATTGACACAAGTGTTTGTTTCTAACTGGACCCTCATTCACACATCACAAAGTCCATTGGTGCACAGGCAACTTATTTCATGCTTTTATGTCTCTCTCAGTTCCAGCCACAGGCTGGACTGCTTGCTGGTTTGAGGAACACAAAAAAGTTTTCCTCTGACATTTCAACTTCACACAGGGTAAATTTAATCTCTATTTCCATGCCTATGCATTTTACTCTTCATTCACTGAGTCCCAAWSARCTGTTTTCAGTAACAYCCTCTGCTAAYACCMATTATGCACTTKGTGCACACTCTTTTGCCATCAGAAACGTGTGAAGGGGACAGAGCAAACGTGACAGTGGTATCATGGAAACAGTGAAGCTGYGRCCAAGCAGCCCCTGAGACCAGCAAGACATGAAGCAGCTTTGCCACCCAAACTAWTTAAGTTWCAATTTGTTAAAGTATCATAAAGAAGTGAAACGTTTCAGTTCYAACAGGCTSAAATTTCAGGCTGTTCAAATACTRTGTTCTAATGCCATGGCTATGCTGTACAAGGATAATGCACAGGCATGGACATATGGGAAATAATGTAGTAGCTAATTTCAGCTGGTGTTCAGACATTTCTTTTGGGTGAAATGATCCTGAATACAATTTTACATTTTTTCTTCCCTGTATTTTTTAAGCAAATTGAAATGCGTATTTGCGTTCTAGATAAAATCATTACATTTAAGAGCAATTTCTACATATTAGTATATTATATATGGGATATTTCCATTGTTTGCTGAAAATGCAGTTCAGACAAGGAAACATGCCAAACAGTASTTTGGGTGCCAAACAAAATTCCAAGCTTCTTGACCGTAATTCTGAAATTTCTCTTTCTAGTATTCAAAAGCAATCTCTGCTCAATGAAGTGTCTGAACAATATAGTCACAATTCAGCAAAGGYCATCATAAAATTTCTTGCTTTTCCAAATAATTTCACACCTGAGTTGACATCAGAACATCTAATCAGAATATAAGAGCCTACATCAGGCTTGCAAAATAAGCAGTCTATGGGCTGCCAAATTTGCTTTAGCTACCACACTATGCAGAAGTGTTATTTTCCCTACACATTTCCACAGTCTGGTGAACAATCCCACAGACAGGAAGATGAGGGCAGGGGGAAAACTGTTCTCCCCCTCCTAATGCTTGCTGCTCCACTCCATGACCATCCAACCCTTTAGCTTTGACCCTGCCTGGAGAAAGATGGGCTGTTCATTACAAAGGCTCCTCTTCTCATGAAATTTTTCGGATGAGAGACAAAGTTTGTTGCATTGCAAATGCAAAACCCAAGGGGTGTGAAGTCACTGTGGTGGCAGACAGAATGTAGCAGTGTTGAGWGATACAGGTGACGCAGCTGTTGCAGCAAGAGGGCAGTCTAAAAGGAGGAAATCGAGCTACCATAGCTCAAGGCAAAGGTTACAGAGGTGAAGATCAGTTTTGAGAGGGTGCAGAAAAGCCTGCTTATGAAGGGAAAATGAAGGGAAGTGGTGATGAAATTGTCAGGTAGAGCTGACAAATGTAATTGCTTAGCATTTCCTTGGAAGCAAATGATATCTAGTGCAGCAAGCTGGCATTCACAGTAGCACACATCTGAGGGAGGCACTGCCACCTACTGCACTGCACCTAAGGCTCTGACACACTGCCGGCCATGAAGAGGATGAAGGCTGTTCCAAGGGAAAGCTGCTTTCTGATGCACATGCCCAGCACTGACTGCATGCTTCCTCCCGTGTACCTGGGGCATGGAATCAACAAATGGGTCACTAMAGCTCTTACAGCTTTGCCCAGTCAGAAGGTTGGATCTAAGAATATTATTACTTCTGCTAATTAATGTCAAAACCTGCCTGTCAGTGCAACTTGCAATCAAAAATCATGGTCTTACAGCCTCTACAGCCTTCAGACAAGATAGATGTATTTCCCTCTGGATTCCCCAGCGTACACTCACCTGACTCAAACTGGATGGCTGGACATCAACCAGTCTTGGAGACAGCAAGCCAGCTACAAGACACCGAGTGTAGCTGTCATGAATGGTTTCACTTATTAAAGGACCTGATTTCTTCAAAAACTTCAGAGTCTGAAACATCAGTCAAAACYCACAGGTTAAGATAGCATTCAATCACTAAAGTTCTGGATCACTTACACTGTCAAAAAGCTGCATTAGTAGCAGCAGGCTTTAGGTTAGCAATTTTGAAAAGCATTGCTATGTAGAGTCTTAAACAAAGCAGCAAACTAACAGTTCCAGTTTCTAAAAAGAATCACACAGAGGAAAATACCAACCCTTGCAATGCTCAARGAAAGCAACTATTTTCCAGCTTCTCTGTCAATACAAGGCCTTGTTCCTCCCTGAACACTGACACAAATTACATTAAGCAAAAGTTCAAACTAACACAACTACRAATCACTCTTTGAAAGACCCTATGCTTGTTTGTGGGGAAGATGATTTACATGGGAATCTTTAGTGAGTGGGAACTTAATTTGAAAGGACTTGTCACAAGTTGTGCAGTGGCTTAGAAGTTATAATTTGGCCAAGGTTCAGAGAAAAAAACATGCATTTCCTCTTGAACAGCTGAGTACTTTTTCCTTTTCCCTGTGCTGTCCTCTTTTCTCAATTTCCTCAGGGGTCAAAGTACTAACTCCARACTACGCAGACAGTACAAAGAAGTCAACGCTTTCCCCAACTTCCACCACAGTCCTTCCTACTACAGCAATGCTGCACTCTTTCCAAGCCATTCAATCCCTGCTCATGCCTCCCTAAAACAGCACCATTTSCATGAAACTGGCACGATATGACTGCAGTTTTGCATGTGGATGGGCAGCATGAGCACAAAGTGGTCTCTGACACTCAAAGCAGTGCAAGAGAACTTAGAAAAAGTTCAACTCCTGACAGTCTCAATAGAGATACAGAAGAAAAACTCACCTCCTTCTGGAAGCCGGTGCAAGTCATGTGAACAACTCCTGAGTTGAGCAAGCACGTAACATCTGCAGAAACAAGGAACATTTGACAGCCTTCCATACTCTCACAGTTGCCTTATCACCAGTTTGTGCTTTTAAACAGTGCTATCTGCAAAGACAAACCTTCAGCACCCCTTTTCTTCAGCAAATCACTTACACACTTTCTTTTATCWGTACTTACTGTCAGTSTGCAGAAAATTAATCTCAAGTGCTACGCAGGTGCTTTGAGCCTCAGCTCAGAGGCATTTCATTTTAGGACCAWAATCCCTTCAAAGATTATGTTACAGAAGGCCCAAAACCCAAAACTCAGCAGACAGTCAGATAGGTTTCACAAAAGTAAACACCTTGTTAGTACAAGGCAACCAGAGTTAGATTTGTGAAGGTTTGGAGATCTTTTGTTGGTTTTTGTGTGACAATGAACAAGAAAGAGAACCACTAAGTGGCATTTGACCTCACATGAAGCTTGTCACTTAAAAATGAAAAGCAGTGAAATACCTACCAAAATTATAGGTGCTTGGATTAAAAAACTGTTCAGGTGGTGGATAAGAAGGAGGAACTCCYCGACTCAGACTACGCTCGTGTACCAGAATATCCAAAATGAGGTTTGGAGAAGTCATGCTCATTACAGGATCCAGTGACCACAGTGCAAAATAGGGGCAATCATGAAGGAGTTCTTCTGGCCTGAAGGAAAACAAGGGCATAAGCTAACCAGTGACTTTCAAATTAATCCTTTGTAGAGAAATTAGACCTAATAAAAACCTACCTCAGTGAGTCTGGCATTTGTGCATGATACCAGCGATTGATGTCAAACACACCCAAATAAGTAGATGGTTTTCCCTGACCATAGGTATTCACTTGCCAACTGAAGATTGATACACTGGTATCAGGAGAGATTACTGTCAAAGACAAGACATTGTTTCTTATTGTAGAAAACATGGGATATCTGCTGTTTTTAAAACAACACTTTCTATTTTGACTTAATATTCTTTTATTTGACTCATGAAACCAAACACTTTATTGAGAATGATAAAAACAATTTACAGAATAGCAAGAATCTATGTGATAGGTTTCAGTCATACCGCCTCTTTTTCTTGTTCAAATTGTACCAGTTCTAAGCTATATCAAATACACAATTATTAGCTAATCAAGTTTTTCATACAGATAATTTAAAAAATATATCAAATAGAACTGGCTCCAATACTGAGGCCTGGGGAACATCACGGGTGACCAGGTGCCAGATGGATGCAGCTATTCATTTGATCACAGAAAAAAAAGTTCAGGCAACTTTCCTAAGCAACAGAAAGAATGACCTTACTGTTCAGTGAAGACAACTGGCAGAACAAAATGACTGACCAGCATTATACCGATGACACCACCACTGTTCCAGCATCCCAGCAAACATAAAATAAATATTTTTCCCCTTAAAGAATAATGTTCAGCAGGATAAAAAAGTCCCACATAACTTAAGCAAGCAATTCTTCATTTTAAATAAGCCCAGCAAGGTCAGCTAGACAAATACTTAAAACTTTAAGACTGTGGGTATAGAACAGCATTCATTGCTTAGATTCCCAAACCACATAGTTTAGAAAAACCAAAGGGGAACATCAGAACAAACCTTCATTAACATTATCCTCTCGGTCAGCATGGTTGCGATATTTTTCTATGGTCTGACAGCTGAGCAATTTAGTATTGCTGGTCTGCCCTCTCAGGGGAAAGATTCCACCAGTGAGATCTAAACTGTACCTTTCATCACAGTATTCCAAACCCTGGGTGGAAAAAAAAAAATTAAAAAGGTCATTTTCATTAGATCTACTATGAAAGAATGTATATATCTAATATAACATGCATATTGTACTGTTTATTTCCAATGAGCTTATTTCTGATAGCAAATAAAAACGACATCTGACATTCAAGTAAATAAAGTATCAAACTGTAACAGGAAAGCTTGGCGGAAAAGGCTTTGCACATTTTCAAAAATTAGCAATGTCTTAGCAAAACTTTGGTCTGATGCACGCATAGTTCATGCTATTTTATTCAGGAATTTTGGAAACAGCAGGCACAAGCCAAGTAGACAAGAAAAATCAAAATGATCTCTTAGAAAAACAAACATGAAACCTAAGCAAAGAACTTCATCTTCACTGCAAGATAACTAATCACTAAACCAATTTTAATAGAGATGATGTCCTGAACAAGAAGTCTACCATTCCAAAGGACAGTTCTGAAACGTAAAGTACTAAAATTCCATAAACCTGTCCAGCATTAATTTTAGTGACTAGGAATTTCAGCTTTCGTAGGAGCCACTCCCACACTAAGTTGGGGCAGAAGGGGAGGAGAAAATAATGCCAAATAGTTCCTGCTGAAGACAACTGCCTAACCAAATGCAAATTTTTAAAATTTTCCACACTGGGGCAAACAAATCTAAGTTAAGGAACTCTAGTGCACAGAAGATATTAAAAAGTAATGATGTTCCAGATCAGTTAAACAGGACAGTTTCCAAAGGAGTTGCAGTGGTCAGACTCCCATATGAACAGACTCTATATGAACATAGACTGTACACAAGCATTGTGCAGGACAAAGGTAAGGATGTGCTCCATGACCATGAACTGATCCACAACATACAGCAGATRCTGAAATTACATAAAACAAGTATTTAAAAGCCTAATTTAAGTGTATCTTTCAGTTTTCTTACTTTAGAAGACTACCAGCCTTGAAGGCAACAGAGACACAAATTTGACACATATTTATAAAAACAGCGCCACATGTTCCAGAAGTTCCATTTGTGACTTTTACCATGAYATAAAGTCGAAGATGCATGGTTTCATAGCCTCAAGTCTGATTCCTGGGACATAAAGCACTGATGTAAGTAGACAAGTGTTTTAAGCTCCTGTGACCTCCACTCAGTGAACAAGGAGCAATGGTAAATTAATTTCTCCTTGTTTACTCAAGCTTGGCCTGGCAAATGAGAACAACTATTAAAGTTTATGTCACTGAAGGCCAACAAGAAGCTTGATTCAATCATGTAGGCAGAGTCATCATGTCATATTGACCAATACATGACCACAAGGAAGTATTCTGAGACTTAAGACCCCACTGAAGAGCACAGATCCTGTCCTGATGCATCCTTTTGGAAGCAATTAAGAATTGGTGGGGGTGGGGGGTGGCAGCAGATGCTATCAGATCTCAGCATGAAACTACACATGTAAATGGCTTATCTGAAAGCCAGCTGAAGAACCTGTCTTTCCTCCACAGAGGGTGCAAATACTCAGCTCTCTTGAACAGCCTTCTAATACTGGTTCTGGTTGCAATCTTTCAACACACTCATTACAAGGAAACAGAAACAGCAGGAGAGCAAAAGATCTGAAATCTGGGAAATGGTGCCTGACAGCACTTACAAGCCTATGAATGCACTATTGGTTGCACAGTCTGTAGAGGATTCCAAGTCTTACTTTAACTACACCCCAGGTTTTCCAGGTCACAAACACAGTAACATTTTTCAATGGTCTTTTTTTTTTAAAGTGTCAACTGGAATTTCTCTAGTAGATCCATTTTTAAAGGCTGACAAAACATTTCAACTCTCTGAGGTTTAAGCTGAGATTTGTCRTATCTTGTTCAGAAAAGACAATCAAGACAAATAACTGCCAAATAGTTAGAGGTCCTACATTTTAACATTAAATTGTTCAGACAGAAAAMGGTAGTAGCCATGAGACAAATAGAGACAATTGCTATTTTCCAAAWGCAGCACACAGTAAAAGGTATTGTCTTTGTCACTGCTAAGAGCATACCTAAAAATAACTTTTTTACAAGAGGATAAAACAAAACAGAAATTCAAAAGCAAATCTTGAGAAAACTAAAGAAACTTTCTCCTATCAACCTGACAAAATGCTTAGAGCACTACAAGAGATGCAGGAGCGAACTGCAATGAAAACCCTTTAAAGAAAAAAAAACAACACACAACCTCCCCCCCAGCCAAACAAACAGGGTACTCCATTCCTCTAGAGCACTGCATATTTTTGTCATTAAAAAACTGCATATGAAGACATGACATGCATATTCAGATATGCTGAACCACTTGAAGGCATTTCTACTTCTTCACCATGATAGATGATGTATCTTAAAGACCACTTTTTCCAAACACCTAACCTTTATCTGATCAAAAGCAGCACTTCCAAATGAGGAAGGACCTTTCCCRCAGATAAAGACAAAAAAAGAACAAAACTTAAACTCATCCAAAAAATTCAAAACTCAAAGTCCCTATAAAAAAAGTCTTTAAACCATAGTCCAAGGATTAGCTCAATTTTATTTTGTTTTGTACTACTGAGAACATACAAGAGCAAGTATCGAATAGGAGGAAAGACTTGCTCCAAATTAAGGCTACTTTCCCATCAAAAAGATCTTGGAAGAGTTTCGAGCATAGAGCTGAATAGAATTGAACTCATCTTCTATGACGGAGTGACTGCAACAGGTGACAAGGGAAGACTGACCRATGTCATCTACCTAGACTTCTACTATGCCTTTGACACAATCCCACGACATCGCCATCTCTAAATTGAAGAGACAGATTTGAAGAGTGGACTATTCAGTGCATAAGGAACTGGTTGGCTACTCCAAGCCAGAGAGTTGTGGGAAATGGCTCTATCTCCAGGCATAGGCCTGTGTTGAGTGGTGTCCCTCAGAAGTCTACGTGGGGACCAGTGCTCTTCAATGTCTTCACCAATGACACAGTGAGATCAAATGCACCTTAGGCAAGTTTGTAGATGACACAAGGCTGAAACGTACAGCTGACAAAACAGAAGGCCAAGATCTTATCCAGAGGGACCTGGACAAGGCCTGAGAGGTGGGCCCACAGGAATCTCATGACATGAAGGTCAGCAAGTCCAAGTGCAAGGTGCTGCATGTGGAACAGGACAATCCCGGACATGACTACAGAAGGACAGAAGTGATTGAGAGCAGCCTTCCCAAGGACTTTGGGTGTTCTGGTGGACAAAAAGCAATAAACACAGCCCAGAAGTCCAACCTAACCCTGGGAGCCCTCAGTGCAGCCTTTCAGTATGTAAAGGGAGCTTATAAAAAAGAGGGACATTTTAAAAGGGCTGACAGTGACAGGACAAAGGAGAAGAGATTTTCAATTAAAATAGGAGAGATTAAGAATAGATGTTAGGAAGAAWTTTTTTCATGTGAGGGCASCAAAGATCTGGAGATCTGTCTGCCCAGAGATGCTTTAGATGTCCCATCCCTGGCAGTGTTCAAMGTCAGGGCAGATGGGGCCCTGAGTGAACTGATCCAGTGGGTGGCATACTCATGGCAGGAGGTTGGAATCAGATGATATTTAAGGTCTCCCAACSAAAACCATTCTATGATTCTATGACTCATTTTGGTAGGTATAGACAAAAGAATGCCTAAGATGACTCATCAAAAGACTTTTCTTCAGTCTCATTGATCTTTCATAGTAAATATTAACCTGGTAAATTTACTTCACACTCGCTTAGACAAAATTACTATTTTCATCTTTTCATATAACAGCCTGTCTTACCTCGTACATGACTTGTCCTGATGCCAGGTGTTTCCTGTCACCAAATGCTAACTGCAACAGATGCAAACTTACAACATCGCCTTCACTGAAAAAGTTAAAAATGAGGAGATTTGATTACAAAGCTGCTTTACAATCGTCATTACCATTTTATTRGATCTGGGCTGAAACTTACTTAAGAGAATGCTCTTGCTGAAAAGAAAAACACTACTTCCCAAAACATGGTAATTGGTCACATTTAGCCACTCAAACATAAAGGAGGAMATTTTGATGCTAACAGCTTTAGGGGCAAATGCAAAGTATACTACTGGAAACCTTTAATATGCAATATGGAGAAAAAAATTGCTGAATTGCTGGAAATATCTCTCAACAATAAAGTCTTCTCCATAAAAACTGCATTAAAGTCAAACTTAAGAGGACTGCCACTCTGTAAACAGCTGGGCTGACTAAGTAGCTTGATGATGTTTACTGTTCTGCATCTGCAGCCTAAACCACTTTAAATGGTATTGAATATCATGGTGGGAATACCAATCAAATCCTGAAGCAGTTATTAAGAAACAAGGGAAATCATTTAAGACTATATGCACAAAAATATAACCACTGTTCCTTTGCCTCCTTTCACAAGGTAGTAATGAGTCAACTCCTCTTTACCACTGTAAAACCCTGAAAAAATTGCTCTGCAAGCTTTACACTATTAATGCCTGAACCTTCTGTAAAGTTAAATAAACAAATACACAGATACCAACTAAATGYGAACAAATTAAAGAACAGACTAGTGACGTATGGCAAGATTTTATTCACCTTTGCTGTGTAGACTGAACAGCCCACAAGTAACAACAATTGCGAGGATCATTCTCAGGCTCTTGAAAAGTAACGGCATAGACAGGAATCCTTCCTCCTTCAAGCTGAGAGTGGTGCCTACAAGTTTAAAAGAAAAAAAAGAATAAAGAGAAAAGGAGTCTGCTGTCCCTAGGTGTTTGTAGAAGGATAGAAGGATCTTCTGGGAAAAAAAGGCTTGAATGTTTATCCTCAAAGCACAGGAGGTCATCTCAACCAACCAATGACTGACAAGCCACTACTTCTTAAGTATTTGTCTTCCCACCTGCTGCACTTTAGTTGTACCTTCAGAATCTTTTCTTGACACCTAAACATTCATCCACTGTCTATTTACACATCCATAATACATATATAGCTTCTGGTGAGACACTGCAGATTTCCTTAAGTAAAACCCTATCTGAATGTGGTCAAATATTTCAAAAGGCAGATTTAAAATCACCTCTAAATTTTATTATTGCTTATAAATTTACGTGCTCCTTATTCTGATCTCTGAGTCTTCCAAACAAACTTTCATTCAAATCCATCCTTGCCTCAGAATGAGTCAACCACAAACTTCCATCAAGGCTGAAATGTAGGAAAGAGTATGTTTTCAGGCACAGATCAGCTACTGAATCATGTCTCACTAGTGTCATTGTGGACACTTTAAAAACTATTATMATCAAAACCATATTACTCACAAACTGAAGCCTTTAAGTAGAGGCCCTAACTGCAGAAACTGGTTCTGAAAAATAATTTCTACAATCTGTTTCAAGGAAATATACATATTGCCTGGTTTGATTGAATRCTACTGGAGAAAACAAACTGACGTATACAAAACAGTTCTATCACATCCCTACTGCATGACTTCCTGAAACAAAAAATTGAGACCACTGCACATCCAAGTGTGACCCAGCAGAAAAGACTACTTACTCCCTCTTCAAAGATTTCATATTCCATAGCGACAGGTAGCCATCAGAAAAACCCACAACGAGCTGGTTACTTCTGCTTATGCAGCACAGGGTTGATACTGCTGTTCCTGAAGGACTTCGTAATTGAAAACAGAGATGCCTCCCTTCTCTGGTCACAGCTTCTCTTCTTTGTGGAACTTCAGCAGGAATCCTAGTGACAACTTCTAGATCTACACACATAAAAGCAGACAATGACTGAATGCCTTGYGCTATTTCAGTTGCATTTTAAATTGATGTGATTATACAACAAGTATCATCTAATTCTAC